ACACCCCCACCTTGCACACCCCACCTTGCACACCGCACATTGCACACCCCACCTTGCAGACCCCACCTTGCACATTTGCACATGGCACACCACACATGGCACACCAAACATTGCATACCCACCCTGCACACCCCACCCTGCACACCCCACCCTGCACACCCCACCTTGCACACTGCACATTGCACACCCCCACCTTGCACACCCCACCTTGCACACCGCACATTCGCACATGGCACGCCACACGTGGCACACCAAACATTGCATACCCACTCTGCACACCCCACCCTGCACACCCCACACTGCACCTTGCACACTGCACATTCACACATGGCACACCAAACATTGCACACCCGCTCTGCACACTGCACATCGCACACCCCACTCTGCACACCTCACTGTGCACACCCCACCTTGCACACCGCACATGGCACACCCCACCCTGCACACCCCACACTGCACCATGCACACCACACCTTGCACACCGCATGTTGCACACCGCACCTTGCACACCGCACGTTGCACACCCCACCCTGCGCACCGCACACCAGCCCTTGTGTGCTGCAGCTCCTGCAGAAGCTCCCCAGCGCCTTGCAACATCTCCCAGCTCTGGAGATTCAGCTGAAGCAGAATCCACGCGACGTCCCTGTGGGTTTTATTTCCCACGCACTCTTTTGCTAAGGACACGTTACTGAGTCTTCCCCGCTGCCATGGCCATGCTCTCCTGGCTCTGGGTACCGGCTGCTGAGGGCCACCGAAGCAGCTGCATCTGGAATTGAACTGTCAGCGGCACCGGCTGGAGCCCTCGACCCTCCTCCAGTTCAGCAGAGTCTTTGTTTTTTCTTTTTCCTGTGGAAAGAAGTAAATCTGTCACTGTCTTTACAGAGTAAATCACCCTAAAAGCAGCAGTGCGCAGTGGGTAAATGCCCTCCGCGTTAGCACTGACTTCTGGGCCTTGAGGGAAAATCTGTTTGACTATAACTTTGGGTAAGAAGCCCAAAAAGCATCTTTAAGCAGGCAATTGATCTGGGTGCAATTTTGCTTTTTGTTGTTAAACTCCTCTATAATTCCTAGGAAAAAAGAAAGAGGCAGAAATAAATCATTTCAAGCATCCTGGAAAATCAAGCGTGGGGTAAAATGAGACCTACGTGAGACTACTTCCGAAAGCATCCTTCAATGTCTGGGCAAATTGTTTGCTCACGACAAAGCTTGCCGCATTTCCTCTTTGAGCTGCCTGGAAGGGATCCCAATTCCTCTGAGAGGACTTATTATTTGTGAGCATTTGCCTACTCAGGGATGCAAATCAGCCTCAGCTCCCGGCTGCGAGAGTGCCGGTCCCTACGCAGCCTCGCTGGATGCATGGCGACAGCGGAGCGAGGGCTGGGGGCCATTCCCCCGCGCCTCGGAGCACGGCCACTGCTGCAGCTCCAAGGTGGTCCGTGGTACCCAGGTGATGAGCAAGTGCCAAACGACCACGGTGCGATTTGGTGACTCATGGCGCACCCAGGGCTTGCAGACACCGTGTCTGCTACCCCAGCTGCAAGCGGGGTGCACTTGTGAGTCATGAGCCACGGCAGAGCGCCCAGCCACGGGACACTGCCGGCGCTGGGTGTAGCGACCTGCGGGGGCAGCTGATTTTTAGGCATTATCTTTTTTAAATATGCACTCGGTGCCCTTGCTGTGCAGCTGGCCAGCCTTTACCTGCACAGGCATAAGGGGACATGAAATATAGTGCAAGTCTCTAATCGCTCTGAGTTTCCTGTATCAGCGGCAGCTTTTTGTGCACCCAACATGAACTCTGGCCACACGGCCCCCCGCAGAAAGGGTTCAGTTCTCACTCAAGCCGAAAGAAAGACCTGCATGCACACTGACCACAGGCACTGGGGTGGAAAGGAACTAAAAAAATACCACTGCTGAACTTCAGTTGTTTGACAGCAGCTCCATGCATCAGCAACGGTCTGAGCATATATTGCAAATACACATCTTCTTGTGGTGAACTATAATTTAAGGAGTTGTTTTTTCTTCTTTTCAGGTAGCTGGGAAGGCCATCAGGGCTTCCTCCAGCACAGGCACAGCCTAGGACTGCAGGTCTCTTGAGATCCTCCCCAAAGACAGGGAGCTCACCATGGGTGACAGGGCATGGAAAGGCATCCCGGAGCTCTTGGGGATGGGGGTTAATTGCTTTCTTAAATTAGCAACTAAATCTGATGCTGGGGGGGGGCGGATGACCCGAGGCTCCTTTGGTAGCTCCGAGCAGCGCTGCGGAGGCCTGGCCCGCTCCATGCTCTCCTTGACCCACGAGCAGCTCGTCAGCGTCCCCTTGCCACCCTTTCCCTCCCCCACTTCCTCCTGCTCTTGCATTACCCCTCCAATGTGCCAGCACTGCTATTTTTGTAGTCAAAACAAGATTGCTGGAAAAATAACCTGCAAGAGGCAGGGTGAGGTTTGTCTCCAGCGGTTTAAGCTCTGGCGGTTTAAGCAGCGCTGCTGGCTGAGCAGAGCGTGAGCTCTGCACTGGGGACCAGGGGATGCCCATGAGGGGTCAGGGTGGTCTCTTCATGGGTGACAGCAGAGCGGGAACAATAATCCCCTCTGCAAAGTGCTTTGAGATGTGAGCTGGAAACGGATGAGGACCTTATTATGCATCCCAGACAGCACTGCCCGCGCCGGCCCACGCCACCGGCCACATTTGGCAGCCGACACAGCGGGCAGCACATCTCTCACCCAAAAAATCTGCTTTGCCCTTCTCCCCTGACACACAGGGCTGGTAGGTGTGCGTCGCTCCCAGGACAGCCGTCAGCCCACCCTCAGTGCTCGGCTCAGACACTGATTCAACAAGGTGTCTGGGCGCGTGTCTAACCCTAGGGCCCCCGCAGTCAATGGAGGTATTCACAGCCCGAAGCTCAGGATGTGAGTAAGCGCCCTGCTCGGCAGCGCCGGCGGGGACCTGGGGGCGGCCTCCTTGGCGTTTGCTCTCGCACACGCTACCCTCTGCCCAGCCAGCTCCCGTCTCCGTCACCTCTGTCAGACGCCGTGGCTTTCTGGCTGGCCTGACTTTCTCTCTCTGCTTTTGTTTTTTTGCTCTTGTCTTTGCCTTTTTTCCTGTCCTGCGGGGAGAGATGTTTCCATAGTTAGGCTGTGTTGAAATTCACTGCCCGCATTCAGTCCCGTGACAGCCGTCGCCATCTGGGTTCTGTCACTGGGATTGAAAGGGCAAACGAAAGGGGTGAGGGGAAGCAGGAGCAGGGCTGCTCAGAGCAGAGCATCCAGGAAATTGAAAGTGTTGGTACAGCCGATGCGTGTTGCCATGCAGAGAGAGAGAGAGCATCAAAGGAAGCACGAGTGGTTGCTTTCACATTCTCAGATGGAAAAATAAGCTCATCTATTTTCTTACGCTTGGTCTATAAAAAGTAGCAGTACGCATCGCTAATATCAACATTAAGTAACGATACCAGCAGTGATGGGTGGTACTTAAGCAGGATTATTTCAGCCCCATTTTATGGAGGGGAGAACTGAGGGATGGACAGGAGGGATGCCTGGGCCAGCTGCAGCACAGGACGTGCTGAACCCCAGCCTGCCCGGCCCTGGCAGCCCTGCCTCACCACCCTGTCCCAGGACACGCTCCTTACCTTCTCCTCCAGACTTGGTAGCTGCAGCGGCTGCTCAGTGATCAGGATCCCAAAGTCACACACGGTTGCCACCAGGTCCTCGGTGGCCAGCAGGGTCTCCAGGGTCACCCTCCCGGTGCCCAGGGTCCTCCGAATAGGAGGATCGCTGCGGAGTTCACATGACGACTTCTTTTTCTGCTTGTCCCTGGGCACAGGAACCTTCAGGGCACCAGCACGGGGACAAGCCTCAGCAGAGGGTTGGGGTCCCTTTATCAGACAGCAAGCAACCCCGGCCAGCCCCTTGCATTCAGACCAAGATGCGTGTAAAACCACTGCTGCCTTCCTGCCACAGCAGGGGGACACTTTGGCAAGAGGTCTGGGATGGAGGGGAGATTCTCTGACACACCAAACTGGCCCAGGAGAAGGGCCCTCATTCCCCCATCATTATTTTTGCAGCTCAGGCGGTGTTTGGACACCGTTCTCTCCCAGCATCGTACCTTGGCACTGTCCTTCTGCAGCCCCCGACTTGCCTTCCCCTTCATGACTGCATTTTCTTCTGGGTCAGCCTCAACAGGCCATGAGAGCACCTGCCCAGAGAGAGGAGCTGGTGCTGCAGGGGCTGGGACGCCTGAAAACCCCGGTCCAGGGTCATTGGCATCCCGGGCTGCCTCCAAGAGGGAACACAATACCACTGCTGGGTCTCCCAGCAGCTCTTTCCCCTTTTATCCAGCTCTGCCATACACTCACCTTCTCCTCCATGACCGAGACGATCGTTCCAGACGCCAGGTAGGACTTCAGCCCCACTAAGTCCTTGGCAGTGTGCTCCTTCCTGTAGCTGCAGTCGATGGTGTTTGCCCAGGGCTTTCCAGGGGTGACAAATACCTTTGCTGTGCAGGGACACAAAAAAGCTCTGAGGAGAGACCTCTCCCTCCCAAGGACAGAAAGGAGCCCTGGGACATGAGCAGTGCCAATTCTTTACCCATTGGTCTCGGTAACAGCCCAGCTGCAGGCGATGCTGTGAGGGATCTCCCAATGCCACCACATGCCAGGAAGAGCCATAAACCTGCCCTGAGCAGTGGGGCAGGGGATTTAGAATTCCTCATTACCAGAGTGGGCGTTGGGCTCCTCCATGGCTGCAGGCTCCTGCTGGCCCTTTGCTTCCCTTGTGTCCTGAGCAGAGCTGTCCACATCCAGGGTGGCCACCACGGGACGCTGATGGATATTTGTTACCTGGAACAGAGAGGGATCTCTTGGCAGGGCACATCTAGCTGTGTTTGCATCAAGACCAGGGGTCAGAGCTGCCTCTGAAATCCCATTCCCCAGCCCACCCTCATCATGGGAAGAAGGGGCACCAGCGCCGGGGAAGGGGTCTGCCGCAGTCAGCGGGAGGGGGGCTGTGAATGCACTCCCACATGCAGAGTGGTGCTGGGCTCCCCGAGAGGGACAGGGAATGTGGCCAGAAGGGACTCGTCCTGCCAGATGTGACCATGCGTGAATTCTGTCCCTGGTACCGCTGCTGCCCACACCAGGTCCATTATGAAGGGTCTCGCTCCTGGAGGTGAAGTCCCCCTTGCCACTGCCTTTTGCTTTCAGGAGCTCAGTTGAGCACAAACCTCAGTGCTGCTGCCGTCCTCGATCTCTTCTACCTGTGCAAACTCGTACGTCACACAGTAGCTGTAGGTGATCACCGGAGCCTCGGAGCCAACCTCCAGCTGCTGACGAGCGCTGGGATCAGGGACTCCCTTGATTTCCCCAATGCTCACAACCACTCGCGCTTCGCTCTTTATCAGCTCTAAAAGGAAGACAATCTTGCTGTGAAGCTGCAGCGTGCTCCTTCCAGAGCGAAGAAGGTGTAGAGCAGCCGGACCTCCAGCACGCCGTGTCCCCACCACTGGGCATCCCTCCCTGCCACCCTGTGCTATCGCTGTGACAAGCCACTGCCACATGGGGTCACTCCAAAGCCACGCAAACATCTTTCTTCGGTCGCTTTGACTCCCTCGTTAACATTTTAGACTCCAAAGAGCACATCCAGCCCATAAACTCATTGAGTAGGGGGCCATCAAGAGGGGCTTCCCACCCCCGGGTGTCCCCAGGCCCCTGCCCTCGTCCCAGCTGGGGATGTGCCACGCTGCAGAGGTGGCACCGCTTCGTGCTGGCAGCGCAGCACGCACGTGAGCATCTTCCCCAGTGGAGATGCTCCTCGTTCAGCAGCTCGAGAGGGAAATGCACCGCCTGAAACCAGGCGGTGTCTAGAAAGCAAAGATGGGAGCAAGCCATGGCAGAGAGGCAGTGCTAGGATTAAGTTGTTCCGGCAATCTTTGGACCTGGTTAAGGCTAAAATTACCTCGATTGTAATTACACTGCTGCAGGGTGCTCTGCCTGTCTCCCCATTTGTACTGGTGGGGTGAAAGGGCACAGAGAAAGATCTCTGTTTGAGGAGAAGCAAGAAGGAAGTCAAACTGGATCCGGAGTTTGCCCTGAGGACTCCTAGCTCAACCACAGTGAAACCACCTCCCGAATCACGGGGTCAGCATGGGCAGGTTCAAAGGTAAAGGCTCACCTGGCTGCCTCGCTAAACCATGGAACTGGTGCCTCTCGTCAGGCCCTATGTGGATGTCATCAAGGATGGAGAGCTTGGGCAGGCTGTCCACGAGGAAGCCTCTGTAAGTGGGAATGAGAGCCAGCGGGTTCCCTTGGAGCACCAGGACACGGAGCTTCTGCAGACTGCACAGCTGGGAGACCAGCCCCAGCAGATTCGTGAAGTTGTTAAAGCTCAGGTCAAGGGAGACAAGATTTGGCCTAAGGAGAGGACCCAGAGAAAAAGGTTAGGCAAACAGCATCCATCTGAGGACAGAGAGCTACTTCCCTGGGTCAAAAAAATAAACAAAAATTATGTTTCACCAGCACGAACTGGGTCAAACTGGGGAATCCAATGGTACAATCTCAAGAGACCAGTTCCAAGTTTCTGAGCCATATGGTCCATTGCCAGTCTGCCCCACAACTCAAAACCATGTTCCTTTAGCATCCATTAACCATCCCACTGCATCATTCAGTGATGCAGCCTAAGCTTTAGATCCTTCCCAGGGCAGACCCAGCAGGGGCTTTGGGAAGGGCATGGAAAAAGGAAGCTGCCCAGGGACATGGGAACTGCAGTGCCAGGGTGTCAAGGCAGTTCCCCAGGTGATCTCCTCATTCCACACCTTAGCCACAGGTCAAGACACCCTCTAAGCACGAGACAGAAGACAGCGAACAGAGACAGAGTGCTCTGCACAGGTGTTGGACACAGAGCAAAGAAACAACTCTGCTGAAGGGCTGTAATTTCTTGACATGGGCCACCTTGATGGCTTGAGGTCATCTGTTCACATCTGCCAACCTCCCTTTCAGGAGCCCACGTTCAGCCTGCGGTGTTACCAGAAGTCCGCAGTGAGGTAGTTGTCCTGCGAAGGACCACACAGCCTGTTGTATCCCAGCCCCAAATGCTGCAGCTCCGGAGGAGGCTGAGCGCACAGGTCCTGCAGATCAGCCACAGCGTTACAGCAGAGCTCCAGGACCTGCCCGGAACAGAGGGAACAACAAACACCTTTTGCAATGAGCTATTCCTGGCAATCCCTCGAGCTGCTCGGCTCATGCCCTGTTCCCAGATGGGACCTCCCTCCCCGTCCTGCTGTCGCAAGGCATCGCTCGCTCACCTTCAGCATCCGCGGCAGGTTGGCTGAGGTTATCCTGCTGATCTGGTTGGCACTGAGGATGAGCTCCTCCAGCTGCTGTAACTGCAACAGACCCTCGTCGACCTCGTCCACCTGCAGAGAGTTGGGTTTGGCCAACGTGTCCCTGAGCCACCTCTTGCCCAAGTGTCCTGGTTTTGGCTGGGATAGAGTTAATTTTCTTCCTAGCAGCAGGCACAGTGCTGTGTTTTGGATTTAGTAGGAGAAGAATGTTGATAACATGCTGATGTTTTTAGTTGTTGCTGAGTACTGCTTATGCTAGTCAAGGACGTTTCAGCTTCCCATGCTCTGCCAGGTGCACAAGAAACTGGGAGGGGGCACAGCCAGAATAGTTGATCCAAACTGACCAAAGGGCTATTCCATACCGTATGATGTCATGCTCAGTATATAAACTGGGGGGGGGTGGCCAGGGAGCAGCGATTGCTGCTCGGGAACTGTCTGGGTATCGGTCGGCGGGTGGTGAGCAATTGCATTGTGCATCACTTGCTTCGTGTATCATTATTATCATTATTATACTGTTACTATTAGCATTACTATTTTACTTTATTTCAATTATTAAACTGTTCTTATCTCACCCCAGGAGTGTTTCTCACTCTTACTCCTCCGATTCTCTCCCCCATCCCATCGGGTTAGGGGGAGTGAGCTTTTCGGTGTGCTTAGTTGCTGGCTGGGGCTAAACCATGACACCAAGGTGACGTGGACACGTAGTGTCGATCCATGTGACAGACGTGGACAGATTAGTGCAACGCGCTGGGTGGGGGGGACAGCAGCTCCACCCCAGCTGCAACAGCGGCATCCAGGAAGACCCTGGGATGGGGAAGGTGTCCTTTTCCCAGGATGTTT